AGTAATGAGATAAATGGGATTAAGTAGCTGTATGTTAATTGCTTCCTTATTGAAAAATTGTAATGTAGCAAAAAATGGGTAACAAGAAAATTTATTCTGGATTCTTTTTTTTTGGAAAAACTAGTTAGGGGAAATATTCTAAATTTCATCAATCAAATGCACATTTTTTTTCTCATTTTATTCACAGTAATATTTGCTTGTTTACTTCAATGACCAAGTCACCTTTTTAATAATGCACAGATAGAACTTTATGTGCAGTTGGGTATAGAATTTTGCCAAAGTTTGGAATTATATATCTAACAGATAAGAAAATGTATTTATGATCTCTTGATGGCTAGGTATATTGTCCATCTATGGCTTCTCCAAAATTTTACAGAATTCTCGGTAAAATAGACACGTGGATGATATATGAATATTGGAAATATTAGACGCTACAATAGGAAAATAAAAACAGCATAAAAATAACAAAGTACAAAGCGGGGGCAACTAACCCATATTGTTAGTGAGCAGATTATAAGGAAAGTGGCTCCAAGAAAATATCGTGAACTGGATTTCCCAGGATACAAATTCTGAAATGAAGAAGAGCATGTAGGAAATTTTTTAGGGAGTATCTTCAGGATGAAAACCTGTGGAAGAGAAGGGAAGGAAGCAGAAATAGGCAGAGGAAGTAATTGAGATGCAATGCAAATCTCAATGGAAGTTTCAACTAATTCCTCAAGGACCTCTGAGACCGTAGTGACCCTTAATAGTTTTCTCAAGTTGGGGCAAGGGTACTGGCCCTTTATAGCCCCTGGTTGGCCCATCCTTGCATCTGTACAGACCTAGGAAGGGATGTGACCTTGTGTAAAATGCATCTTTTTTTTTTTACGAAGGAAATTCCTGAAGGGGAATTACAGCTAAGTACTGTGTTCTGACAGCACTCTAAAATATCTGAAAGAATAAGTCCCAGTCATAAAGGAGAACCAAAATGGCATATCACAGCATCCACTGCAGTGGTGATGTTTGGAGTGAACTTGCTGAGCCTTGAAGGAAAAATAATAATTTTTTAAATTATTTTAAGTTGAGGGAGGATTTGTGTAGGTATAGAGGGTATGTTCCAGGCATGTCTTTTGTGTGTGAAGGTGTTGGCCGTTTATTTCTGGAGGCAGTGAGGATCAATCGAAAAATATTGGTCTGGAAGTAAATATGATTAGATTTGTATTTTAGAAACATCATTCTTGTAGAAGTGTGGTTTGAAGAAATAGGAGAATGAAGACTGAGAAAGTAGTTATGAGGTAGTTATACACACTTTCTATAGAAAGCATGTATGTAGACTAAATACACACACATTATATACATAAATCTTTTAAAAATGTTTTGGAAGTATAATTTAGGTATAGTAAAATGCACAGATTTTTAAATTTCCTCTCTTTTCAGAAGTTGATCTTGGGCAGAGGTTGACACATTACAGCCCTCCAGCCAGCCCCCTATCTTTATCAATAAGGTTTTATTGGAACTCAGCCACACTCTTGTTTCTGGATCTTCTATGGTTGCTTCATGCTGCAACAGCAGAGTTTAGTAGTTATAAGAGAGGTAGCATGGTCTGCAAAGCATAAAATATTCAGTGCTTAACCCCTTACAGAAAACATTTGCAAACCCTTGATCTAGGGTTTAATGCTTCAGGTAATACTGTATCACTTCAAATGTAGCATAAGGAACTCAGTACGGTATATTTATTTCTTGCTTCCTACCCTTTGTGCTATTGTAGTCGTACATTTTACTTCTACATCTGTTATAAACCCTCTAATTCACTGTTACTATTTTTGTTCTAAACACTCAATTATCTTCTACAGAAATTTTAAAACATGAACAAATATTTTATATTTAGTGACATGTTTACCATTTTCAGCATTTATTTCTTCATGTAGATGTGAATTTCCGTGTGGCCAATTTTCCTTAAAGCTAAAATTTTGCATTTCTTATACAGCATACCTATTGATGATGAATTCTCTCAGCATTTGTCCTAAACATCATTATGTTACTTTCACGTTTAAAGGATATTTTTGCTGGATGTAGAATTTTACATTGACACTTTCTTTTTCTTCTCATCATTTCAGATATGTTGTTCGCTTGTTCACTGGCTTGCATTGCTATTGTTGAGATGTTATTGCCCTCTGAACAGTTTTAAGATTTTCTCTTTGGCATTGTTTTTTTATCAGTTCTTTATGATGTGCCTTGGTGTGTTTTTCTTTGTATCTACCCTGCTTGGCGTTCAATGAATTTCTCAGATTTTTGGGTTCATATTTTTCAACTATTATTTCTTCAGATGTATCTTTTTCTGCCTCAGTCTCTGCCCTTTCTGCTTTTCTTACCCCATTTGCATGATTGTTAAGATATTTAATGTTATCCTACAGGCTACTGAAGTATTGTTCATTTTTAAGCCTTTTTACCCTGTCTGAGCTTTGGTTTGAAGGGTTTGTATGGACCTGTATTTAAGTATACTAATGTTTTCTTCTCAGTTTTCTAATTTGCTGTTAAGCCCATCCAGTAAATGTTTTATTTTCAGGTATAATTTTTAGTTCAAAAATTTCCATTTTGCTCTCTTTTGTTGTTCCTTTTCCCCATTAAGGTTTCATATTTGTTTCATCAGTGTCTATATGTTCTTGTTCAAATATGGGACAAATTTATAATCTCTGTTTTAAGGTCCTGATCTGCTCATTTCATCATCTGTCATTTTTCTGTCTATTTCTATTGACCGACTTTTCTCTGGTTATGAGTCACATTTTGCTGCTTTCTCAAATATCTAATATTTTAAAAATTTTGTACTGGACATTATGGATTCTATTTTGTTGAGTTTCTTTCATGTTTTCATGAAAGTTTCATGAAAAGTAAACTCTCATGGTCTTCCTTAATGGAGTGTTGAGTTTCATTCAACTGAGGAGTTAATTTATTTGTGGGTCAGATTGATCTTTTTTCATGCTTGTTACCAGCCTTTGTTCAGATGTGTCCACAGTAGGATTAGAATTAGAATCCTTATTTAGGATTAAATTATTCTACTCCCTTTCTGAGATCTCTACTGAATGCCTAGGTTTGTTCAAGTTCTCTCAATCTTGTCCGGTCTGAAATCAGACTACTTACAGCCCTGTGCAGCCTCTGACTGTTGTTCACTTCAGATCTCCCCTTACCTGGTCTAGTGGAGTCTTGGTCTGCAAATACACACTTAGTATTCATTCAGAGTCTGAGCTGCAGAGACTCATTGGTGACCCTATGTACATTTCCAGAGCCCCTTCTCTGCACAGCTGCCCCCTGCCTGGTACTCTGTCCTATAAATTCCAGCTTCCTCAGGAGCTTTGATTCTGCTCTGTCTCCATCTCAGTGATGCTGCTGTGCCTGTTTGGAATAGTCTTCCATGTGCCATGATCTGGAAAGTGAACCAGGCAGAAAGCCAGGAAGATGGCAGGGCTCACCTCATTTGTTTATCTTCTCTCATGGATCAGGGTCCAATACTCCCTGTTGTCCAATCCCTTAAAAGGGTAATTGTATACATTTTGTCAGTTTTGTAATTTTTTTGTGGTGGGAGAGCTATTCTGTCATGGCTGAAAGCAGAAATAAGCCATATAAACATTACGAAATGAATGATGTATCACTGATGATTTACAAAATGATCTTTATTAGCATACTCCTCATAAAATAAATTATTTTATTGTCAGCACTTAAATTCCTTATTTGAAAAGTGATGCACATGTTTTGATATACTGTATATTGGATAATTTGTTGAATACTTTTCTATTATTTACTCCCATTAGTAACCAAACTTACTCAAAAAATTATATCGCCTCTTAGCAGTAAGCATTATGCCATATTTTCTGTAATGTATTTATGTACAACCATAATTATTTTACATAGTGCTATAAATTAGGACTCTTTTTGTTATTTTTCTAATAAATGTTTTTTGCATTCTTACTATTTGCCAGTCACTTATTTTATTTTACCAAAAGAAGTTTCACTTCATTTAGTGACTCAAATTATTTTCCTAGAAATGTGTTTATCTAGAGTCATCAGTTGTCTACCTCTTAAGTGTTAGTAAATGTATTGCCTGATTTACTATATATCTTAGTTCTCAGGAGTCCAAGGGCTTAATGCAATATTAGGCCTCATCTTGAGAACTACTAGCATTCTTTGAACTCTGAACTTTCTAAAGTAAAATATATTGTAGAGTTGTGTATAATGGCTTTTTGTTTCATTTATGGTCTACTAAAAGATAAACCCTTACCCGAGGAAATAATAGATTGTTACATATCTTTCCC